AATTACACGATCATGATAGGTATTAGTATTTTCTTAATACAAAATTAACACTAATGCCAAAGCATTAAATTATTTTTTTAACATTAATGCAAAAGCATTAAGTTAGTTTTTTAATTGTAATACAAAAACATTAAAAAAAGTATTGATTAATGCAATGCGAATGCGAATCCGACACCCCTAATTTTTCAACAAATTATAATTGCATTTAAGGCAGATTTGTTATCTGCTAAATAGATTTTAACTCAAGCTCATATAGATTAATTTACTGCTGAAATATAAATGCTATTTTTTTAAGCAATGAGATTTATCTGTTTGCCTACCTCTAATTGTCAAGTAAAATAACATAATTTCTTTTATATATACTAGAGATGAAAAAAGCACTCATACATAGTTTGTATGATTCACTCTTGCGTTTCGTTATTCATACACATTCAGTCACGAAAAAAAAAAAAGAACATAACTTTTCTTCAAAAACGGAATGTGATGATATAAACGATACTGAAGAAAATGAATTCGGCAATAGTAAATTCGTCGAAGATTGTAACAGAGAAAAAGAGAAAAGTTGAATAATATTTTTATGCTGCTGTACAAACAAAACCTATTTTTTAATAATATATTAATCAGGATGTTTACATAGGCTAAAAATAATTATTGGTTTTCTAGATATCTATGTAATGTATGCTACATTGTATCTGGAGAAATGTGTTTTTAAATAAAAACCATCTATTGAACTTAAAATATAATAAACAAAGAAGAAATCTACCTTAAATGCAATTATAATCTGTTGAAATATATTCTTTAAATATCGTACCTTAGCTTATCTTAGCTGCCTGATATTTTCTTAAGATAGCTCAGAAAATTTTTGAAGTTTTTATCCACATAAAGGACAAGATCTTTCGAAATGAATATCAGAGTATCTATATACTATTAAGGTACTTTCGCTTTATCGTATTTCCAGGGTGGAAAAAAATCGATGATTTTCGATCACCGCCTTTGCAACATTACTATTTTCATCATAATTCTGGCATCAGAACTGCGTCATGCTTTTATACGATGCCGACATAATATGGTATGTACAGAAAGAGAAACACAACGTTGCAAGATTTTCGTTTTGTTTTTTGTCCATTCTCTATTGAGATAAAATACATCTTTGTTAAGTCATATGTGCAAATTGTGATTACACAAAATTGTATACAGTCTATGGGGCAGCAAGTAGATGAAAAGAGGACATTCGACACCTGTTCGATAATGAAATTTCTACATATCTTCATCAAAATGGAGACTAGATTTATTTCTTTCATTTTACTTTCATGTCGACTGATTAATCGGAATTTATGGGTGTGAATGTGAGTGTTAAAATAATATACAAAACCAAACTCCATACCCACCTACACCTACATCCTAACAACGTTTGGCCTTATATGAAATAATAGATGACATAAAAGTTGAGTTCTTCGTCATATTTCGATAACTTTTATTTATTTCTAATACATGCTCAACAACAGATTGATCTTTTACACATTTGTGCAAAAGTCTCGCAACCATCCTTTTTTTTATTCTTGTCATATAAAAACTTCTTGATCTCAAGTAATTGTCAGTTACATAAATAGTTTCAATACTGTATTGCAGTGTCGTGTATAACCAATGACGATCTACTTTAATGAAGAATATACGTCTGTCAATTCAATTGAGCAACAGTAAAAATGAAGTGGTTGATAGAATCCTTTACGACTGGGTTATCTCTGTTTTTTATGAATCTGTTAATCGTTTTATTTATTTGAATTTTTAAACTCTTTTTGTCGTAGACTCGAACTTGTGTCGAAAATACGATAGAGCTGTTTATAAAAGAAAAGACAGATTAAATAGAAACTTCAAAAAAATATAAAAAAAAAGAAAGGTACCCTATAATCATAAAGTATTCTGTCAACCAACGATATTTCAGTATCCTCCAATAGTATTGCATGAAGTACATTTTTTTTATTGAAGTAAAACGAAATGAATAATACACTGCATTACTTACGCTCACTTTCAAAATCAACATTCACTGCAAAGGAAAGAGATGTGACAAAAAAAAAAGAATGGAGGAAGAAAAGACTTTTATCTCTGAGTGTATATTTACTATAGACACATGGATTTACTGTGATAGAATGATTAACTTTTTTTTTTTTTTATAAGCAGAAAAGAACTTTTACAGCCATGTTATAAAGTACATAATCTTTGTAAAAATTCTTTTTTTTTTTTTGTTCTATACTAGTATCTAACATTCTTATATTTTAGATTCTTTTATTCACGTGATAGTTGATGTAAAACCAAAATTTATCTAGACAAATTTTTTTGAACTATTATTGTCAAATTATTAAAATGGTTAAATCGTATTAAAAAAAAAACCTGTAGTATGCAATCATTTTTCTGCATTGAATAGACCTTTAATTTATTATCGATTATGAAACATTTGAAAAGGAATTCATTATTGAAATTAGGAATTATTAAAATAGTGTTTAATCTATTTCCATTCTTGTTGGCCTTCGTATGTGGTTATCTTCTTTGTTTCAGTTTTAATGTAACGAAAAGTAAAAAACACATTTCATTTCCATCAGATATAAAATTGAATCAAGCATCATCAACAAACGATGAACAAGTGCAAAAGTCATATTTTCATGGATATAATTCGACACATCTATGGTCAATGCGTTTAGCTGATGAAAACTATTTTCGTCTGGCACATATGTTACCATGTCGTATTGTTGAATACTTGGGACCAAAAAATGAACAAATTGATTCATGTGATCATTCATCAACACAAGAATTTTCAATACAGAATACATTACAAGTACAAAAATGGTTTTATGAGCATCAACATCCAATGAATTGTGAGAGTAAACGGTTTGCTATTATTGAAAATTATGCTTGGTCTGGTTTTGGATCAACTGTTCATCAAATTGTATGGGCTTTTGGTAAAGCGATAGCAGATAATAGAATTGCTGTATATCGAACTCCAGGAAATTGGGTAACATAAATTGATATAATTGAAAAACACTTAGAAAAAGCTCTACTAAATGTAATAAATGAAGAGTTTCTTGCCTTTAGTACGTCATAGAAACCTTAGGATAATTGATGGATTTTAGCACTTGACTGTAAAATACTTTTAAATGTTCCATATACTAGCTCGCTGAAATATTTTTTATAAAATCCTATAGAAACACTTGTCGAGTATCTGAATACGACTAGATCTTGATTAGACTAAATTAAGTTTAAAATGATTCGAGTTCATAGTTTACTAATCAAGAGTTATAGCTGTTTTAATGGAAATTTCTGAGAGCAAGACATTTTCAGAAAAATCCAAAATAAAGAGTTTCAAGCTGAACTTTCATCTATATTCATGTTTCTTAATCTCTTAATAATTCTGAATATTTCAATCAAAATCAATATGCCTTTCTCAAGATAATGACTATTTTGAAAGCAGCTGTTTACCATAGAAGGGCATAATAATCGAATTTGTCAGGAAATCTATGTAATATCTCGAGACAGGGATATCCGTTTTCGTTGAAATTTTCAAGACTATCAAATATATTTATAGACAAAATATTTTTTCAGAGATCCTTTGCAATCAATAAAATTGTTATAAAAACGACGGTAATTGTTTATCGGTAAACCACAGGCTATAATTCTTTTCAATTTAGTCTTACTCTCACTGAGACATACTCGTAGCCATCATATAAAGTCGCACAGTGTCCTATAGTTGGGTATATTTCTTTGTGAGACAATTCTCAACAGAATACTCAACCAAGGTCCTATGACATAATACCTCACTAACATCTGGTTCATTATATTGGTACTTTGTTATATTGATCATGAGTTTCTTTTATTGAGACTATCTAGAAGCTCGAATATAATTTTTGATAATATATAACATATTCTAATCAAAGATGTCATCGATTTTTCAAGTCTAGAAGAATGAATTCGCGTTCTTATATTTTTCTTATTAATATTGAAATAAATATTGCAACCATCTGAAAAGTTCAAAAAGTTGCTAATGAAATGTCTACTGATATTTAGTATCTTATTTTATTTTAGCTTTATGGAGACTGTAGCTCAAGCACACTAGATTGTTTTTTTCTTCCAATAACGAACTGTTCACTTCCATCTAAAGTTGACAATAATCAAGCAATTACAATCAACGCTAATATTGGTTATTGGACTACGCCTATTATTCCATCTATATTTCAAAATCGAACTTTTAATTGGTATCGTACACAAATGACATTTTATTTAATGCGATATAAGCCTGAAACACTAGCTCATGTACATAATGTCTTATCACAACATTTGAAACCACCATCAATCGATCTTCATCATCCTTACATTGCTTTATATGTACGTCGATCAGATAAAGTTCGAACTGGAGAAATGTCTCAAGCATATACACTTAAACAATATTTTGATTTATTTGATGCTGATGCTCGGCGAGCAAACATATCAACAATTTATATCAATTCTGAAGATGAACAAGTATTTAGTGAATTCATCTCAATAAATAAAGAAACACAAGATTATTACAAATTATTAAAATTACCAGTACAAAGAAATATTGTTTTTTCGTCATTACTTGGTATGACAAACGAACAACGTGGAAAAATTATATTAGAATTTCTTACTGATTTATTCATTGAAGCTAATGCAGATTTACATGTTGGTACATTAACATCAAATTGGTGTCGATTGGTTGATGAAATACGACTAGTACTTGGAAAAACAATACCTTTTTATACACCTGAAAATAAGTTTTTGATGATTTAGTAATAGTGAAAGTGACAAAAAACTATTTTTTTTCGTCATAAAAACCAGTAAACAAATAATGTGAGAGATATTGACTTAAGTATTATTATAATATTTCAAATTATCTTAGTTTGAATCACTTCTGTTATTCGAATGAAACTATTTCAAATTTGCATAAAAATTGAATTTTAACATATACATAGCATCTTTTCATTTTTAATTCGAATTAATCAAATTTAAGATAGTATAAATATGATAAAATACATTATCGCTAATAACGGATTTGCCAAAAGTTGTTCGACAAAAGTCAGATTCAGCAGTACCCGTGAAAAAGTAATAGGAAGCATGTACTTTATTTTCATTTGATCTAGCAGGATCTCAAAATTTAGAAAAACATCTTTGGACGATTGCTACTCATGTGCTAATAGTAGAATTTTTCGATATTTTCAAAACAAAGAGAGTGCCGAATCTACAATTTAAATTTAACTCAAACAAAAAAATCTAAATAAAACGTACTGCACTTCATAGACATCTCGCCTCTAACTATTATGGTAGCATATGTTTCGAAATCTTTTAGAGAAAGTTACAGCTTCGGAGATTGAATTGATTTCGAATAAATATTTTTATCGACTCTTTCTGAATATTGCTATATTCTGATAACAGTTATCTTTGTCCTCGTTGTCTTCTTCTAACTTTGGGTGTGGATGGGTATGTGGGTGGGTGTGGGTGTGGGTGTGAGACGATTCGTGAATAAAGAGAAGATCCACACCCTTATCTATTTTTCTTATATTGATCTTTCGTGTCTGATTTTCTATTTGTCAATGATGGATTTTATATTTATTTACTTGATACCGTTTTATTCAATGTATTGACTATAAAAAAATATACGAGTCAATTACATGACAAGGTTCATAACTAAGTCTTCTGAAAATATAAAAACAATCGTTGTCCGAAATATGCCTTGATAAAGAAAACCTTTCGAATATATGTACAAAAAAGAAAAACTTAAGAGAACCTTTATCGGAATAAAGCAGAACAAAGCAGAACTGTGAAATGGCGAGTAATTAATTCCCAGTTTCAGTCTGAGCAAGACTCGGTTCAATGAATTTTAATTTTCAATGATGGATGTGTCAGGGCGTGTGTAGGTGTTCTGTGGAAAAACATTCACACTCACAGCCACACCCAGTTTTATCCTTATATAGAAGAAGTAGTAAGATTTGCACTAATTCCTACGTTTTGTATGTTCACATATGATGTTTAACAATGACTGTTCTAGAAATTTTCTAAAGTACTCAAAAAAGAAACAACAAAAGTTGTTTAGTATCTGTGCGTTCCTCGTCATACTGATACGTCAATATTCGAATATGAAACATTATTCCCAAAAAAATATTATAGGAAAACAAATAGGACTTAACAAATATCTTCAGATACTGTTTAGGATGGTGACCGCTTCCGCTCCTGGCTTGCTACTATCACCATCATCCCAATCGTTCCACCTTGATTTTATATATGATGTACATCTCTAACTGTTAATGCTCAGCTAGCTATTATTATTTGAGACCTACGAATATCTTGACTAATTATGAGAACAGCAGTTAAATATGAATGATTGAAATAAATATTGTTTGGAGATTAGCTTTCTGTCTTTGTATAAAACATACACTAAAAATATTTTTTTTTATATCGTTTGTTTTTTAAATTATAAAGTGATTATAATAGAAGAGCACATCCTAATCATTTAGGCATAGTCATAATGGGATAATGTATGAAAGATCAGAAAAAAAACAGCAAAATAATGTTTCTGTGAACCCTGTAAACATTATCAAATAAATATATCTTAACAATATAGAACCAACAGAATATAGGATTCTTAATAGATCTCGTTCTTTTTACGGATTAAAAAAAATCTTACAACTATCAGAACTCATTGCATTGTTTATATCTGATAGATTAATAAAGTTCTTTGAAATAAATTTTTAAAAAAATTTTTATTTTCTAGATGGCAATATATGAATGCTCCATGATATCTGAAGCAATCCATTTTGAAAATGAAGATCCCATGCTTCAGTTAAAATAAAACTAATGAAACGACAGAAGAAATTGCCGGTTTTTGATGGATTACTTCTATTCAGTTACACCCAACCTAAAGGTTTGGTTGAAATGTTACCTAATAGAGAACTTTGTGAAAGGTTATTGAGCTGTTCTCCTTTAAAGAAGCAGTGAGGCATTTTATTTGAAGCATCAAAATTACTAAATGATATAAAAATATTAGTTGCTCACAATAGTTTAATGAATTGAAATGTCATTTATAGTTGTATACTAGGTTTTTTTTATTGGTTATTCAGACCTACTATGAAAAACAGAGAAGTGTATTTATTTTTAGGATCGAGCAATTCAACTTTCTGATTCAATTGAAAAAAGAAATGAGCTTTAATATAGAAGCAAACTTTGTAGCGCTTAAAACTCTGCGTCTGTTTATGTCAAAAAAATTATTCTTTTAAGCATGTCACTTGAGAAAATCACTAAAGCGAAGTTCAATTCTGTGATTCGAGAATGTGTTATCTTCGAAGTTTTCTACTGCTCAAAAGAAAGACAACTAAACATATCAAACAATACTATATGTGCTATTATAAATAAGAAAATTTTCAGTTGAATCTAACATGGCAAAAATCAGTTTTTAAATATTCCTGATCTTGTACTTGAACAGTTGTTGTTTTTACGATATTCAGTTATGTTCATATTGTACAGAGAAATGAAAAATTTTCATTTGAAAAGAAATGCATTAACATCTGATGCAAACTTTCAGGTCAAGTCTAATTTGTGAAAACACCCTATCAATAAATAACAATTTCCTCTACTGTATCCGTTAAGATACGCTTTTTACTGTAGTAAAGCAATAATATCAAGATTTTGTATAAATCTACGCTGTTAAAACAACGTTTATATTTGATAAAAATCTAAGATACAGTGCTCCAAATAATACGAGATAATATGAATTGTTTGTTGCTGAATCAAACAAACAAACAAAGTATGTTATGAGGTATTTGAAGTCAATTACGATCATTATGGATAACTCCATATCCTATAGCGCTACTTTTTTACTGGAGTAAACATAGGGCAAGTGCACCATATCTCTGAATGAAATCAAAATAGTTTGTGAACAAGAAGAAAAAAACATTGAAATACCTAGATTTTGAAGATATGCCCCCAAACTTAACAGTTCACAGGCCTATTTTCACTACTGTGTGCCAAATCATTGGATGATCAATATAGAGGTGCTAATGTTCTCTTAATTTAAATTACTTGAACTTCAATTCATTTCAAATCTCAACTACTAATAATAACATAAATTTTATGTTTGAATTATTTCCACTGCATAATTAAAAACGACTTATATTTAATTGAGCAATAAAATAATTGAAATGAGTAATAATTAGATTCAGCAATAATTATATTGAATGAGCAATAATTATAGTAAATCAGCAATAATTATATTGAATCAGCAATAATTATAGTGAATCAGCAATAGCTTATTTAAATTAAAGATAAATTTCACATAAAAAGGGCAATACGAATTCATTTATGTAATTTGTATGATTTATACTGTTATGCATTTACGTGAGTTCGATTTATGTCGTACACACTTGAAACGTGGTATGAGAAAAAAACGTAGAAAAAACAATGAGATTGAGAAGACGATAGAATTTAATATCTGATCTCCCATAGAAGAGAACATTGATATACATATATCACATAAATATCAAAAGTGTTGGAAAAATCCGTTATATAGTGTAAGATAATCATAAGGAAATTTTCAAGATGATCAATAAGACAATTCCAATACACTAGATGAAAAAATTCTTATGTTAAGAATTTATTTATACAAACCGTATTTTTTCAATCTTATAAAATAAAATATATAATTTATATAAATGGCTCAATCATAACGCATAACGCAGTATATTTCTGACAGTGAAAGTGAAAATAATATGAAACTAGTCTTTTGATAACAGAGTGAGGGTGAGGGTGCAAACCCTCACACAATGCAAAAGATGTGAATATGCATACTAAAAGAAAAGAAGGAAGACTAGCTGAAGCAAGAAAAAGCTTTGTTGACACAATAATATATTCATTTTTCTTTTTGTTTATTGTCAATTGTAAATAAAAACATCTTACTTTTCCTTGTTCTTGTTGCTAAAATATGAAATTACTACTGCTATTTAATGAATTAATTATTGCACATTTAATATTATAAAATTGCTCAAAGATAATTTTCTTATTGCTCAAAAATTATTGCTAAAATATCGTATCTCAATTATTGTTCATTCTCATATTTTTATTGCTCAAATAAATACTAGCCATTAAAAACTAGGAGATATATTCTGCATGGAGTTTCGAAAAAAAGAATTAGAGTCACTATTTTTAACTTTTGAATTTATGGAATTATACGAAGTGCAAGTAATTCAGATTAAAAATTTATTAAATTATCTTTAGTTAAAGTTTACAATAAATTTAATTTATGATGATTCAAACTCATTTTTTTAGTTCAATTGATTATGTGATTAACGGCACAAAATCCATAGAATTTCTCTTTTCTTTCTGGAAAATAATATTCTTCCTATGAATTTACTCGTTAAGCAAAGGTGTAATATTCGATAACGGATTATTTGTAGTTCCTAGTTTCAACGACGGTTTGTTTTTTATCACATTTTTCTGCGGATCATTTTCTCAAGTTAATGAACACAATTTATGCAGTAAAGAATTCTATCTGTGAACGAGATCTATGACTGATTTCAATGATTAATGTAATTTGTCATATTAATCGTACCTGGAATTCAGATTTTTTACTATTATGAAACTGTTTTGCACAATCTAATGTTTAAATCAGGCAGAAAGCAAAAAGAATGAGTAAAAGCGTCAAGGGGTGTGGGTGTGGGTGTGGGTGTGTGAGCGAGTGTGTGGATGGGTGTGAATGTAGATGGGGTGTGTATGGGTGTGTGGATGTGGGTGGGCGTAGACGGGGTGTAAGTGTGAGTGTAGTGCTTCTCTTCATCCAAACCAACACCCACCCCCACACCCACATTCATACCCATACCCACACTCACACCCACACCCACACCCACACCCACACCCACACTCCACACCCACACGCACCCATACCCACACCCACACCCACTTCTATTGATGGACTCCGCTTATTTAGATTTGTTCTGTCTTATGACGTCAACAATATTGGGGAATATTGAACTCGAATGCTGTTAACTTGAAGATAAGCACTTCAAATTTTTAAATAAACTTTATTTGATATTACTGTAATAAAAAAGAATAGTTAAAATTTGGGACGAAGTGTAGGGGTACCACCCACACCCGCACCCGCACCCTTTCATGAAAGTGCTATAATCATTAAGAGGTTTCGATTTCATAAACATACAACTCTGCACTATTTATATACCCAGTACCAACATATCCACCACTAACTAAAACATTGCCAGTGGATAATATGGTTGATATATGCTCAGATCGTGCAATATTCATACTAGGACCAGTTGCCCAAGTTCCCGTTGCTGGATCATACAACTCAGCACTATTTAGATAGATATTACCAGTCCGTCCACCATTTACTAAAACTTTTCCGTTCAGTAACACGGATGTGCCGTGCCCCCATCGCCCAGTATTCATATTACCAGTAACTGTCCAAGTTCCTGTTGCAGGATCATACAACTCAGCACTGTTTAGATAGGTATCCCCATTAGTATATCCACCAGTAATTAATACTTTTCCATCGGATAATAGGGACGATGTATGATCTTCTCGGGCAGTCATCATATTGCCAGCATTTGTCCACTTTTGTGTTTTAGGATCATATAACTCAGCACTATTTAGATAGCCAATATTTTTATGATGTCCACCACTTACTAATACCTTTCCATTTGATAACACGGATGCTGCATGTTTTATTCGTGCGATGTGCATCGTCTCAATAGTTGTCCAAGTTCCCGTTGCAGGATCGTACAGCTCTGCACTATTTAGATAGATATTACTATTCCGTCCACCACTAACTAAAACATTTCCAGTAGATAATACGGTCGATGTATGCTGGGATCGTGCAATATTCATACTAGAAGCAGTTGTCCAGGTTCCCGTTGCTGGATCATACAACTCAGCACTATTTAGATAGTTATTACCATTCCATCCACCATTTACTAAAACTTTTCCGTTCTGTAACAGGGATGAGCCGTGTTCCCATCGCCCAGTACTCATATTACCAGTAACTGTCCAAGTTCCTGTTGCAGGATCATACAACTCAGCACTGTTTAGATAGGTATCACCATTAGTATATCCACCAGTAATTAATACTTTTCCATTGGATAATACGGACGATTTAGGATATTGTCGTGCAGTACTCATATTACCAGCCATCCGCCATACTAGAAAAGGGGCATTCAAATTTATTAAAAAGTGTTTTTATTCAAATCAAATACTGAGAGTCATGGTTGAGTTTGTCTTGGTTTGTACAATGGAATAAAAACCGTTCTAAGAATTGTAAGAACTTAGGAGGAGTTTTGAAATGGAATATTCAAGCACTTAGTCAATCTTGGGATCTTTGAAAGACCATCATTTAAAACATACAGAGTAAGGACAGCTGATTCCGACTCCAATTCCGATACTATAAAAGCTGTAGTCTGCCGATTTCAATATGATTCTTACGGGAATAAAGTCGATTTGGCTTCAATTTGAATTCCAAGTCACAAAAATATTAGAATCGTAAGCATTTTCATGAAAGACGATAAAAGTTTTCTTTACCTTCTAACCAAGGATTAAATTAGTTATTCAGGAATTTATTTAAACAGCGTTTAAAAAGAGCATTATTTCTTCTCAAGAAAAGATACATTTCAACTGAAGAATACATACAGCGTGCCCGAAAAGTCATCGACCAAGACGAAAATTGTATATCTTCATTATGGTTGTATGGGTTGAATTAGTTTTTGTACTCTAGATAGAGGACGTTTCCAAGTTTTCATTCATCAACATAAAGTTGTCAAATACTTCTAGAAAGTAGTACTTTAGAAGTCCTTTTTCGAGCTGCAAACAATAATATGTGGGATTTTTTCGTGAATTTCTTCAACATTGTTTCATTATTGTGAGCCTCCATTTATCCAGATCTATTTCTCTATATAAACATTTCTTTGGGACTTCTGGAAAACCCACAGTGAGTGGTATATTTCTTCAGAACAATTGGTTCGTTCTTTATCAAAAACTTTGATGAAAAGTAAACTGAGTAAGCCGACACGATTTTCGGGCTTTTACGGATACTAAAGGGGATTCCACACGTTTTGCCCTTAAATCTGCCACCCATAAGACATAATTTTTATGTGATGGGTTTGTAGCTTGATCCCTCCTATATACGTATATATGTCGCTTTTCCAAAATGGATTCATATTTACGAAGATTGACTCACATATATGCGGTCAGCTAATAAGGACAGATATGGTTTCGTGATATGCAATTTTTTTACCATGAAGAAAGATTTGAAAATTCTGATTCTATATTTCACATCAGTGCTAATGATTCTCTGAGTCCACATGATTAGCCTTTCTTTCAAAGCTTCTTCAATTCAAATAGAAATCCAAATATGACCATCCAATGTATATACATCGTCGGTACGAAAACCATTAGATGACATTATCTCAGCAATAAGAAAGAATACACCGCTTAAACTTGGACAAAAACTCTATTATATATTGAGGTTTCTGTTCATGATATCATAAGCTTAACATATTTTCTCTAAAGTATCACTTGATACTAGAATGTCTTCCAATAAAACAACATCACATATGCATATACGTTAAGTACTGATATAATAAACTTTCTACAGCATTTTGTAGCAGAAAAAGATTTTGTTATAGAGATGGAATCGATATGCCGGCTTTCTTGCGCTCTGATGGATCGGTCCGTATACTACTGGTCTGTGTGTTTAAGTTGGCAGAATACAAGAAAAAACAGTATATCGATTCCATCACTGTTCCTTCAACTTGAGAATTAATAGATCATTCAGATACTGACATGATATCATTGTTGTCATGGGTGTGGATGTGGGTGTGAATGTGAGTGTGGGTGAAGAGAAGATTAACACCCACACCCACACCCACACCCCACAGTCACACCCCACACCCACCCACACCCACATCACTTTATGTTCCAAGAGAAGAAAGACTATTCCAGTCAAATGTCCTGTCATCTTGTAATTAGAATCAATTAGTCGAAGCAACAAAACAAACTTGTACTCACTGTACATTGTTCGATCCTTAGAATTTCTCCTCACTGTCAACTGTTCAAGCCATTCCTGTCAATTTGGCTAGCAAATCGGTCCCGTTATTTTGAAAAAACTCACGACAATGTGAAAATTTAGTTGTGTGCCCGAAAAGGATCCAGACGATGAGGTAAGAAGATGCTGAGATATTCAATTGTGTAAGATAGCTTGTGATTCTCATGCAATGACTTGAAGTCATATAATGTTTATCTTACTTTTATCTCGTTGTATATGTCTCAGTTGACCGATCAATTGTTGAATTGTCTCATTGTACTTTGTTTGTTCATAGAAAATCTTCTCATTCAACTGCGCTAAATAGAAAAATATAGGAATCTGAGTATTTTATTCGTAATCATGAATGCAGAATCTTTGCATAATTATCAGAAGCTGTATTAGCAAGCCGAAATCCTTAACGAATTTCTATGAACTCCAGACATGGATTTAAACAATAAAATAATGAACTCTATCAAAGTTCCCAACTGAGAACATGTTGAGAGAATTTTGTCTGGATCTTGTTAGGAGGATCTCGTAAATGAGGATTTCGAATCCTTGGAAAACAGATGTACATCGTAATTAGTGTAGATTTAGAGAAATCTAAGAATGCAGTGTGAATGTTTCAAAATGCTTTTCATATGGAACAATAAAGTTCTTGATCACATAATTTTCTGGATTATGACTGCAAATCTGCCAAAAGGGTACCCTAAATATTCGCATATGAGATGCAAGCGAGATTATATTAGGTTTATGGAAAATTATGTCAAGCTCCTTCAAACAAGATCTTGATCGAATCAAAGCAGGATTATAAGAAGGTTTGTATGCATGTGAAACTGAGTAAACTTAACAGAATTCTGCACGGATCTTTGAACACTGACGCTTTCTACTGAGAACAATGTTTCCTCGACTGTATGCAAGGTTTTATGAAACAAAATGAATTTGTGGCTATGTTTGTATGTTTGCTGGCATATGTATGGTGACGTGAACAGATATTCATAAAGGTTTGAAAATACTAAAAGAATGAGATTTATCGTAATGGTAACTCGATCAATCAACTGATTACACCATCTGGCTTGCACTCAACTAGTTTGTTTGATGCTGACAGTTAAGGCTGTGGGTGCGGCTCTTCTCACAACTCATTTAGCACACAACCACACCTCGCGCATAACACCACTACTGAGCAAGTCTTATTAAAAACGATTTCTTTTATTTTCAGGAGGAGACTAGTACATTTTTATTCTTAAAGGCCAAGTTCATCAACACTATAGAAAAGATAGCAGTTTGGGCTATAGAGTATATAAATTAGGTTTTTGTCTGATGCCAAAAACGATATGCATTATTTTTTTTTCGAAATTTACTCGAATTTCTATCGTTATTATATACTTGAGATCATTCAGATTTTTCAATTTGAATTCATAAATACTAATTCTGATATATTCTAATGAGAAACAAGAAAACGGCCAATTTTCATGACAGATGAGTTAGAAAATGGCTTCACATACTAGCTTCAACGATTATTAAAGTTTTTGAGGAGCAACGAACAATCTGAATTGAACCAAAGGCACTCATAATTCGATTCTTTTAAAATATGTCAAACAAATAACTGAAAAGCAATAACAAAAGATATAAATGATCTCATAGTGAAAATAACGATCGAAATTCGAATAAATTTCGAAAAGAAAAGTACATCTCATTTTCTGGCATTAAGTAAAAGATTAATTTATATATTGTAGCCAAAAGTGTTATCCTTCCCACACTGTTGATGGACCTCGTCGTTAAGAATAAAAACTTGCTAGTCTCTCTAAAATAAAAAACAAACACTTTTTTGATTAAGCATGCTCAGTAGTGGAATTATATGAGTTTGTTAAGAGATCATGATTTTGGAACACCCTGTATATATATATATCAAGATTGTTTCATGGATTTCTCGGTATTTGGAGTTTTTTTTTATACATTGTCAAATATATAAAGTTGAAAACACATAGATAATATATATATTTATAACGTCTGAACTATGATCTAAAGTTAACTCTATTTTCAGCTGACATTATTATTAAGAAAGCATGTTCTTAGAAAATATACTAAATTCTTTTTATCAAATTTATTGTCTACTCGTTTTTTTTTTGTTAGAATGAGAAAATCACTGTAATTCATTTTTATCATTGTGTGTTCTTATGAAGTCTAAAGCTAAAATAGGTTTCGACGTTATTTTTTTACTTGGTTAAGATAAACATATAATGAAAAACACATTTGATAAAATTTGTTTTTAACATTTTTACTAACAATCTACTCTTTTAATAAAGATATCAGTTGAGTATAATAAATTTCGAATAATAAATTAGAGGTTACATTTAAACATACATCTTTTATGTTTGTTCTACTTTGTATAGTCAACAAATACAAAATCAAAATGAATGCAAAACTTATGAAATATAGCCATTCGTCTTTTCCTCATCTCTGCTATTATGAACAAAAAATGAAAATTCTATATTGTACTAAATAATAAATAGAAAGACGTGGAAGACTGAGATTATCGGTAACATTCGATTGCTTCGCATACATCTGCGATTTCGATGAAAGTACTAAAAATTTAAAGACTAACTCATATTCAGCTAGTAATTTGGATTGCCAATCTACCGTCTACATTCATTCTTAACGTAAGATAAGTTGCCAAAAATCATGTCAAGCTATGCATGAATAGAAATGAAATTACGACAAAGAATGACATCGTTATGCAAAGAATCGATGATTGAATCAACAATCAAAGCAAACAAATGAGCAAGTTGATATAAATGATACAGAGATGCACAAAATAGAACAGAAGAGAAAGAAGAACGCAAAAAAACTATGCATTTCAACATGTAAGTAAACAATTGGATTATTAAAATAAACTTCTACAAACCGGAAATAGTCAATATGCTGAAGTATTCTAAAGAGTTGACAACTCATGACAACCTTAAAGCACACTGTCACCTGAGAGCGAATAAAAAGAAGCTCATAAAAATGCGTTTCTGTTTTCAAAATTTCAATGTATCCACCATAATATTTATATTTTCATGAGCTCTCTGACAGGAAAATGTTATCTTGAATATGTTGTAAAAATTTTCTTACAATT